TGGTGGCGGCGGTGGCAGCAACAATAAAGTTATGCCTTCTTTCTTTGCGTGAACATTTGGGCGATGTAATGCAAATCTTCCCACACAGTGATGTAGACATGTCCCCCACATTTTTTTAAAGTTTAAACGAGGCGTTTTAGGGGGGCGTGGCAGAGTCTTAACTTTTATAAAGAATATCTCTTTGGATTTGAGACTTTAGTCTTTGCAACTTTAGGGATCTTATCTATTCACAAACAGCTTGTAACACTCCAAAGAGAAAGGAAATATTTAAATTGCATCATATGACCCATTTAATAAAACTAAGAATACACTTTTTATGAATAAACATCTATAAATGTACTCTCTATAAAATAAATAAATAAACCTCTATAAATAAAAATGATAATTAGGGTAATCGTCTATATATATATATATATATATATTTTATTTTTTTGTAAATATAAATAAATAAATATTTACAATATTTTTGTATTTTTGCATTTTAGATTTTAAAAACGTCATAAGGAATATTGAAAATTCAAGGATGCCGTGTAAAAGTGGGTGAACAAAAAGAGTCAAATGTCACACAGCCGAAGAAGTGAAATGCTAATGTTTCGATGAACATGAAGACGTGTTTAACTGACCGTGTAGACCATGTAGTTCATGAGTTTGTCTATTCTGGTGCGTTTGAACCTGGTCTTCCCTCCGTTCCTCATGATTTTAGTGTCGTTTCCTGAAGAACGAAACATCACAGCTGCTTTTACAAACACAAACACACACTGAACCGTGACCGTGAGAGTGTGTCGGGCAGCATACTGCACTGACCTGCGAATATGACCAGGCCGTGGCACACGTCCGTGTTGCGAATCTTGCATCCTCTGAGCAGCATGTTGTCCAGGTCGAGCGGGTAACTCTGAGAGTCCCAGATCATCGTTCCCACAAACTTATCCAGACGGTTGTTGGGCTCCTCGCACAAAATCAACGCTGAGAAAGACACAAAGCAAGAGATTACACTTTAAAATCGGCCGTAAATTCTCTTGATAGTCACATGGAAGCAACAAAAACATTCAGTTGCTTAGTTTCTAAATCTCAACGGTTCAAAATCCCACTCATTTCACAGCATTTAGTTTTCAGCGAGGACAGAAAAATGACCTGATGCTGGATATTCACGTGCCGCACCTGGTTAGGACGCGGTGCATGTACAATTACAATCATGCAACTACTTGCACACAAATGATCTGTTGTTTTGTCTCCACTCATATCATACTCACCATTAAATCGGGCCAACTGATCCTCCTCCTGAAGACGCTCGTCTGTCACCTTGAGACCCATCTTAAACTTTAGATTCGTCTCTCTGGACAAACGAAACAAAAGCGAGCAATGAGAAACTACAATAATAAAAATCATTTGATAACAACATGCACTAAAACCAACTCCCATCCTCCTTCATGAAACAACGAAAAATATAGATTTTATTTCAATATTATATTCTATTTATTTATATAATTTTTTATTTTCACTTTATATTCAGTATTATATTTAATTTTTATTTCAACTATTTCAAGTTGCTTGCAGTGGATATTTCACTAATATTGTAATGCTTTTAGCATTAAAAGACTTAAATTAAAATTGAAAAGATTTTATAAAATAATAAAAAATTAAATATTCTATCAATTCAATATTTAATATTTAAAATTTTATATATTTATGGAACAATGAAAAATACAGACAGACAAACCCAGGAACTGGATTATGATTCTATTGTATGTGAAAACAAAATTAAGCAAGTGTATTTAAACAAATGAAATGTAAAAATACTTTACTTTATGAACATGACATGACAGCAAATGAATATTCAAGGAGTGTGTAACGAATTAGGATCCATAAACACGGTGAAATTCATAAATTTAAGGATTCTTGCTGTAGATATTTCACTAATATTAGAATACGTTTAGCATTAAAAGATTTAAATTAAAATAAAAAAATTTATAAAATAAAAAAATAAATATATATTATTATTATTATTATATCAATTCAATATTTTCATATTTATGAAACATAAACATGATAAAAAAGCATAAAGATGACATGACAGCAAATTAACATTCAAGTATGTGTAATGACAATCAAATGTTTCATAATTAGGATCAAAACAAAATTAAGCAAGTGTATTTAAACAAATGAAATGTAAAAATACTTTACTTTATGAACATGACATGACAGCAAATGAATATTCAAGGAGTGTGTAACGAATTAGGATCCATAAACACGGTGAAATTCATAAATTTAAGGATTCTTGCTGTAGATATTTCACTAATATTAGAATACGTTTAGCATTAAAAGATTTAAATTAAAATAAAAAAAATTATAAAATAAAAAAATAAATATATATTATTATTATTATTATATCAATTCAATATTTTCATATTTATGAAACATAAACATGATAAAAAAGCATAAAGATGACATGACAGCAAATTAACATTCAAGTATGTGTAATGACAATCAAATGTTTCATAATTAGGATCCATAAAAACTTAAAATATTGACTAATGTGAAACATTTCCGGTTTCTCATTTTTAAAATGAGGTTTATAAAAATAATAAAATATTCAAATATTACATCATTAATTATATCAGTTAAATTTTTTATATTAATGAAAAAATTCAAAAGTATTCAGACAAACAAAGCCAGGACCTGAATTGTGATTCTTTTGTATGTAAAGAACAAAATAAAGCGAGTGTGTTTGGACTGAACTGTACAAGACAAAGAACAAATCCATTACACAATTTCCATTATGAATCAATGTCCGCGCACTTCAATGACCGTTCGTAATGTTGACATTACAAAAAAATAAATCATCAAATTACACATAAATTGATTCATGCAAGCAGAAAAGGATTTATGGTTATGGCCAGAACAAGTAGATTATGACTACTGTAAAGAATCATCATGAAAACAGGCATTGTGTGTTGAAATACTCGTCTATGAGTGTGGAAGTATGCAACAGTGTGATTCAGAGACCCAATACACTGATCACTGTATGGTTTGTTGTGTGTTTAATGCGTCTCTTACCCGTCGAGCTCCGCCGTCTCTACGTAACACAGACTGTTGGGATTTGAACTGGACAACAACAGAATATCGGCCTACATGTGGTCAAAGCACAGGTGAAAATGAGAAACGAACTTAAAAATGATCTCAAACTGATGAATGACGTGACTGGAGGGATGAAGAAACACATACATTAAACAATAAAACGCATAATGGAGCATAAACATGGCATGACACCAACTGAATATTCATGGTAATGTAATGACAATCAAATAATCAGGATCCATAAAAATAGGGAAAAGCACAGAAACAAACAGAATTCAGTCAGGCCCTTCTTAAAACAGAGATTAATGTGATATACTTCAGGTTTCTTAAAACTGGATATTTCACTTATATTATAATATTCTAAACATTGATTCATGCAAGCAGAAAAGGATTTATGGTTATGGCCAGAACAAGTAGATTATGACTACTGTAAAGAATCATCATGAAAACAGGCATTGTGTGTTGAAATACTCGTCTATGAGTGTGGAAGTATGCAACAGTGTGATTCAGAGACCCAATACACTGATCACTGTATGGTTTGTTGTGTGTTTAATGCGTCTCTTACCCGTCGAGCTCCGCCGTCTCTACGTAACACAGACTGTTGGGATTTGAACTGGACAACAACAGAATATCGGCCTACATGAGGTCAAAACACAGGTGAAAATGAGAAACGAACTTAAAAATGATCTCAAACTGATGAATAGATATTTCTCTTATATTTCACTTTTATTATAATATTCTAAACATTAAAATATTGAACTATGCCAATTAAATATTTTAATTTGCATCATTTTAATTTTATCTAAGTAAATATCTCATTAAATATATCATTTATATTTAAAACGGCATATACCAAACCTACAAGACTCTTAGAAAAAAATTGTTAATTTAATAGATAATTTTATTTATTTTAATGTATAATTTTATTTTATTTATATTCATATTTGTATAATATATAAAAGCTCTACAACAGATGAAAATATCTAAGACAACACTCATATGGCGCACGGATAAAATAACAAATTAAATTAAATTAAATTAAATTAAATTAAATTAATTCTGTGTCAGCTGCGTCACGCAGATACATTGTTTTCGTTCAAATCAAAGCGTAAACAACATAGACATCGTATCCGCGTGACGCAGCTGACACAGAATAGCATACGCTGTTTACGTTCAGTGGATACTCTCCAAAATGGCACGCGGTGACGCGGAGGAGACAAATTGTTGAATAAAGTCGTTATTTTTGTTTTCTTTTGCGCACAAAAAGTATTCTCGAAGCTTCGTAAAATTACGGTTAAAAATTGCGTTCCCTTTTGCATTCTTTACCGATCTCCTTGCTACGT